ATATTGCGATCATACACACAGTGTTGTTACAACATCGGTGATGCTTAATTTTTGTTCAGGAATACTCAACACTGATCTAATTGTTTTCACTTGGGAATTCAATCGTATAGCACAAAAAAAATCCAATTTTTCTCACATTCCAAAACATTGGCGGCAATGGTAGATTTGTGTAAAAAAGACACTAACCTTGAAGCTTTACTGAGTGCCATGTTTAGTAGCCCTGCTTCTCGACCATCCGTTACCACAAGTTGCAGAGTGTGGGCGAAACATGACCTGTGCTCAGTCGGCAGAACTTCATATATATAATTGTTCTCAACCATCCAGGTCCGTATCATTGTCAAAAATAACTGAGAAGCCAGGAAGTGAAAACGTTGATATCATATTCGCAGCATTGTTTGTTTGTGATTGTTTAACATGTCAAAGATTGAACTGTTTCCGTGTACTCTGCCTGCTAAACCAAATGTAAAGCGTGAGGCTCACAGTCTGTGCACACTCAAGTTGTGTTTTCACAGGACATCCAACTTCAGTGCACTTATCTTGCAGTAGTTTATTCACCTAGTGCTTTTTAGTCGGTACCTGCGACCGAGGACCAGCAGACAATATCAGATCATTAAATTAAGATCTCTCTGCCACAGAAAACGGACCATTTGCGACAAAAAGGACAAGTACACTGTTGAGTTGCTTTTTGTCTAACATCGTGAGGCGAATATTTCTCATATATTTTGATTAGCTGCAGTTGCTGGTCTCCCCAGGGATGCTTCCTCATACACCTCACCTAGATAATAGGTTGTTGGCATTTTCTTTCAAGAACTTTGGATAGCATAGGAAGTATAGTAATAGGGTGGTAATTATTTGCATCGTCTATATCCCTCTACTTGAAAATTGGTGTTACTATACCATGTTTCCAAAGCGACGGAAAAACACCGGTGGCCAGAGAGGTGTTAATAATGACCGTCAAATAATGGGCAAATGCGGGTAGACTATATCTAATAAAGCGCCAAGCAATACCGTCTGCTTCTACATCATATGTTTCGCCAAGGTGTTTTATCACTAGGAAGGCAGTTTCTCACACATTGGTTGTGCACCTTCCCCGATTTGTATTATGTTGTAATGCTGCAGCAGGTGTTTCTTCATAAGTTAGTTTTCCATTTTTTTAACCCATTCGCGCCGTGTAAAAAATAACAAAAAATGAGGAAAATGCTGTGCTCATTTTTTATATTTTTTTAATGAAATGTCTCTACACTAAATGGCTCTGCCTTACCTGATTTCACCTTTACTTGAATTTGCGGGAAAATGTATTTTTACTAGTACTATGAATATCGATATTTATTTTTATTATAAACATTATAATTACTATAATGGCATAAATATTAGTAACAGCAAAATAAGATAACGTAAGATATTTTCGTAAATTATAGAAAAGGGTAAACAGGCGAGACAGGCAGTACAAATACAAGTGTAGCCAAGTCGTTAAAATGCTCGGTGCTTTGTGTGGCATCTGTGCAATTACCTGTGTTGTGCTATTGTTAACTGTTGTGAGAGAGTATCTATCATTGACTCTCTAACTTTCTCTCCCCCTGTCCCTCTCCCCCTATCCCTCTCTCCTCTCCCTTTCTCTCCCCCTGTCCCTCTCTCCTCTCCCCTTCTCTCCCCCTGTCCCTCTCTCCTCTCCCTTTCTCTCCCCCTGTCCCTCTCTCCTCTCCCTTTCTCTCCCCCTGTCCCTCTCTCCTCTCCCTTTCTCTCCCCCTGTCCCTCTCTCCTCTCCCTTTCTCTCCCTTTTTTTTCTCTTTTCTCTTTTCTCTTTTCTCTTTTCTCTTTTCTCTTTTTCTTTTTCTTTCCTATTTTCTCTTTTCTCTTTTCTCTCTCTTCTTTTCTCTTTTCTCTTTCATCTCTTCTCTCTTTTCTTTTCCCTTTTCTCTTTTCTCTCTTCTCCTTTCTTTTGGAAAAAAGCGAGATTGAGACAAAGGCAAACAGACAGACGAAATTGTAGATAAGTAAACAGATGGACAGACGTACTTGAGTTGGGGGTAGGGTATTGTTTGTGTAACAAGTCGGTACTACATTTGTTAGAGGGGAGGGCGATCGGTAGGTCAGTGCACGAATAAGGTGTTGTGTGTTTCGGATGCAACTGTCGAAACTAGGGGCTTAAACATAGACAACGCAAAAAGCAGAACTAGGGCCTCATGCAAAACCCTGTACGTGGCGTTTTTTGGTCACATAATGCACAGAAGTGTTCTTTCACCCTCCCTCCCCTAATCTCTTGCTCGTTTTTGTCGTGGAGGGGGGGGGGTAGGAGACGGAGACTGGGTCGTTTTCTTCTCTTCTTCATCCCAATCATTAACTCACGTTTACCTTTTTCGCCTATAATATTGTATCATAATGTTATATGATCTTTGATGTATAGCGCATTTATTTGTTTTGACCTTTAATCTTTCTGGGAATCCACAATCGTCCAGAGCAGAGCAGATGCGAGCCATACAGTTGCAGAGCTGTTTTCCGAATGCTCCTGGGTCCTGGCCTCCGGAGCTAACTAGGAAGTCAGCAGGGAGGGTTATAGTGGTTCCATAAACTATCTCAGTTGTGGTGCACTGAAGGTACTGTTTGAAAAAGGTCCACATGTGTAGAAGAGCTGAGAACCATGATTGTTCGTGACCATCACAGTTCTATAGCGATATGAAGGTCTTGGCAATGGTGGCGATGGTGATAACCTGGACAGGAATGGTCTCAGGCCACCTGGTAAACCAGCCAGTCAGACACAGCTGTAATCCTGGTCGGCTGGTGATGATGCAGGTGTGGCTCCACCAGGCTATACGCTTTTGTTGCAGATGAGGTCCTAAGTTGCGCGGATTCCCTGATGAGCATGCTAAGCGATGGCGGGATGTAAGAATGAGTCACCCTGGCGAGGTGTCACAGAGGATGGTGTCCTGAGAGACATGAAGCTACATCTGCACTAGCTGAAGAGATATGGAGAGAGAAGTATCCTGTTGCTGCTTCCCGCAAACTAGATGGTAGTCAATAGGACTGTTGCTGGTACTTACCATGGCTTTCGATATTATGGATAGGGCATCCATGGCCTAGTTATTGGTACCTCGGATGTGCCATACATCAGTGTGGTGACTTGGTCCCCAGAATCAAGGTGCCTTTCTTCATGTGGGGACTGACTACAGCTCCTGTTGTGAAGGGCGAAGGTGAAGGACTTGTGGTCCATCAAGATGTAGAAGTCTCTCCCCTCGACATATGCCCAGAAGTGATTGATGGCAGTGTAGACTGTAAGGAGCTCCTTGCCAAAGGCGCGGTACGATTTTGCTGCGGTCTGAGTGTTTGCGAAAAGAAAGCCAGGGGCTGCCAACCATTACCTGGATCTTGCTGCAGAATGGCTCCCATGGTGGTGACTGAGGCGTCTATGGCTATGTTGAGCCTCACCTGTTGCTGTGGGTGGTTGAGGAGGGTTGCCGAGGCTAAGGCATCTTTGCTGGCCTCAAAAGTTTCACCTACCTCAGGGGCCCAGGTAATCCTGACCCGGATGGAGTGAGAATGCGCTGTAGGGGAGGCAGTAGAGATGCACACCTGGGAATGAGTCTCCTAAAGAAATTCATACCAAGGTACTTCCGAAAGTGTCTCTCTGATATTGGTCTATGGAACTGTCTGAAGTTATAGTTCTATAGCTTTTCCTGAACCGGGATGATACCATCAGCGGTAATGGTGTGTACTAGAAAAGTCAGAGAGGTGACTCTGAAAACTCTAAACAGGGTTGATGACGACTCCAGCTTTCAGCAGGCCGTTGAACAGGGAATAGAGGTGTTGCTGGTGCTCCTCTCTACTGTCGCTTGCGATGAGTATGTCATTGATGTAAGTGAAAATGCCCTATAGTCCATGAAACATTGAAAGGTGTGGGTGACATTCATAGAAATTTGTATAGGTCATAGGGGGTGGTTACAGCTGTCTTTGGGATGCACTCCTCGGAGATGAGGATCTGATGATACGCTCTGACGAGGTCAGTTATTGAGAAATCACCACAAGGCCACCAATCACTGTCCTCCTTCTGTACTAGGTGCAGGGAAAGGTTGTATGATTCCGAGCTCTCTGGTGTACTCCAAATCTGCCTTGGCAATGCAGAAATGGCCTTGTGTGAGGGTCCTGCAACGGTAATAGACCGGTGGTTCAGTCGTGACAATGTGATGTTTGACAGTTTGGGGCAATGTCATTGCGCTGGAAATTCAGAAAGCAAACTCTATAGGCGCACTGGCAGCACTATGTAGATAAGGGCTGACGATGCATAGGTACAGGCCCCTGACTGGTACACAAGAGACCCTAAGGTCCACCATGAATCCATGATGTGAAAGGAAGAATGCTCTGAGAATTGGCTGTTGTACGTTAGCAGGAATACCTATGTCAGCTTCAGGTGGTGGGCATCACTGGAAATGCTCCTGTGTCTACCCGAGGCCGTATATGGGAGTTGTTGTCATGGACATAGAGCAGATTCCATCTGGAACTCCATTGCTCCAGCACCAATGCACCCTGGTACCAAATCTGAAAGAAGCAATAGCTACCTAGAGGCCAGGGTGATATAGAACTGCGGTGGCGGAACTGGGACCCGATGGAGGGTTGCGGGCTGAGAGCCGTCTAACGGCAGTTTGAGTTCAGCAAACTGTATCAAGAAATTTGTGCAATAATCGGAATAACCAGAATTCCGTCGGCTTTCAAGGCTAGTTATTTGTTGGGGACCTCGAGCGCAGGGAGGCAGATGTGTGTTGGCACGAGCAAGAGCGTGTTGGATGTGTCAGTGTAGTTCCGAGGGAGTACAGCCTTAAGTTGAATATGTTGTGAAGAGGGCACGCAATGCATGTTGTGGTGAAAGCGCCGCTCGCTGCAGGATCGCGTCCTTGAGGAATTGGAATGTGTTGTATTCAGAGTTGTTGATAAGGTCGTTGATGGAGAATAATTCAGAGAGATGAAAGATTTGTCACCGGTATTAGATATTTCGTGATTGGTGAGGTGACATGGCAGAGAGGAACTCCTGTTCCACCTGCAGAAACTATTCCAAAAGGCAGGCAATGGTGCAGGTAGAGAGTGGCTCCAAGGAGGCTGACAGACTCATGGGTAAACTGGACTAATATCTCTGAGGTACACCAGTGTGGTTATTAGTAAACACACGGTAAGTTTAATTAAATCTCACTTACTCCCAAAAGTTCCTGTTGGGCCTGTTCAAAAGGATCTTTAGGGAGGACAGTGCCATCTACATGGAAGGAAGCTATAATCATTCCTATCCTTAAACCTAGCAAGGATGCTTCCATACCCAGTAATTGCAGACCAATTTCTCTTACCAGCTGCATCTGCAAACTGGAGAAAATTATAAACCTCAGGTTGATCTGGCTGCTAGAAATGGAAAACGTGCTGACACCATATTAATATGGGTTTAGAAAATTGAGATCGACCACAGATGCACTTGTGAGGATGGAAACCCTATACAGAATTCCTTCACACAGCGACGTCATGTGTTAGCTATCTTCTTTGACCTGGAAAAGGCTTACAATGCTACTTGGAAACATGGCATATTCATAAAGGTGTATAATATTGGTTTAACCCAACCCCCACGGATTTATGTTGTCCCCTGTAGTTTTTTTGTGAATTTTGTTACATACAGATGGCTCCACATGTGTTCAGCCAGCAAGGAGTTTATCAGTCTATCGTTGGCGGGAAAATGTTTTTCTTTCTAATACAATTGATATCGATACTGTTATTATTATTGTTGTTATGATTATTAAATTGTTATTTAAATCTTGGTAACATTTAAGACAATGAAATAATACAAAAGACCCTTTCCAAAAGTCAAGGAAACGGATAAACAGGTGAGATAGGTAGGACTAATAACTGACCTCTTGGTGACTAAGCACTTGTAGAGCCATCTATATGTAAATACAATACTTCATACAAAGCTACCTTCCTGAAAGGAAATTTAGAGTTCAGGTGGAAGTTTCTCTAACCTGAAAAATCAGCTGGAAGGGTCCCACAAGGTAGTGTTTGCCATTGCTATAAATGACATCATAAAGGTCTCATGTAGTCTGTATGTGGATTATTGTAGACTGCAATAAATCAGTGGGCAACACAGCATGTATTCATATTTTCTCCACGCAAGACCATGGCTACATATTACCACAAAAGATGAAAATTACGTCCTTCCCTATATTTTGGAGCAATCCCACTGTATTTGGTCCAATTTGTCTATTTTATGACTCAAGACTTACATGGGTGCCTCACATCAAACAGTTAAAGGCGAAAGCTAAAATAGCGCTTAGTACCTCGCGGGTTTTTTCACTCCTATCTAGGGGTTCAGACCGACTTTTTATTCGTAGCAAACTTGACTATGGATATGAGGCTTATTCATCTGCAACTCCCACTGTTCTCTGAATTCAGTTCATAATAAAGCTCTCAGAATCTGTATAGGGGGCTTTCAGGTCTTCACGTGTGGAGCCCTTATGTGGTGAGAGTGGAGAACCACCTCTTTCATTACACCGGGAATACATGAACCTGATTTACTACATGAGACTACAAAGGATTCCGGGATTTCCTACATCCAGATAGCCAACCCTTTGGTAGGAGAATGAGGTATCTTGTGGAAGATCTCAAATCTAAATCTCACCAAGGTTCTGGCTATTGGAACTCCCCAATTCCCTCCTTGAACCAATCAAGTCGAGCTGGATTTGATCGGAATAGGGGGAGAGATCCAAAGTTAGGGAGAGATTATTTTAACACACTACCAAGGATCAGATGCAAGGTATGCAGATGGTTCGAAATCTGAACATGGTGTGGGCTTTGCAGCAGTGAGCAGAAGTAAGGCTGTAGTCTTTTTACAGCAGCCTCGATCTTCACTGCAGTTACATACCATCCTTGCAGCTGTCTTCCCGATAAATGGAGGGAACAATAGAGGCAGACCTCTAGAAACAAACTACGAGAGATTATAGATGACCTTGGCAGTTGGGTGGCCAGATTCCATCCCAACCAACAAGTAGAAGCTGTATTAACAAGACTAAGGATTGGGCACACAAGACTGACTCGTGGCCTGATGATGGCTAAAAGTGAAGCACGCTGTGAGGGATGCCAAGAGCTATTAACGGTCGCACATATAGTGGAAAGATGTGCAACATTCCCAGACCAAAGACGTACGTACTTGTCTCCCCATATACACCGAAAGATGCATTGGGGGAGGTTTGTGACATAGGCCTTTTTAATTAAGCATAAATTTTATTTATTTTATTAATTGATATGAATAAATATCTATAAATATAAGATATTTAGTGATAGATTTTTAACATTTAAAATATTTTAACATTTCAATCCAACAAGGTATTCGCCGCTAATGACCTTAGCTGTTAAGGCGGCAGATAAATTTAAATAATCACTCAATCAATGTTCATTACTCTCAAAGTCATGAAATATTCAAATATTTTATGTACACACTCTACATTGGCCATATACAAAATCGAAGAAATAAGTAAGACACCGTGTATTTGAGAGAAGAATGTCCAATAATTTACAATGAGTATACATCATGTAAACATATTCATAACTATTCAGTGTGACAGCCTACAATTCTCTCTGTGCCATTACCATACCTTATGCCAAAATGTAGGCGCTACTTTATTAGCGATTTTACCATCTTTAAGTATTTCTGTTATTGAGATTTCTTTTGCCCTGCCAGTAATCCTTCATTATCATTCTTACCATAATTGGTATTACCACTTACTTCTCTTCGCATCATTTTTCACCAAATGAAAAAATCCATCTTTCTGTTTCATCCTCTTTTTCTGTTCTTCTCTCTCAGTGGTATATATATCTGTAATTAATGTTAAAACATCACGTAAAATAATACAATTTCAGTCTGTTAAGGTTTCCGGGTTTTCCTCGCTTCCTGACTTGAAACATTTCTACCATGAGGTAAGAAAACAGAATTTTAAAATTATGTTTGCTTAATGTGAGAATTTATAAGATGAATCAAACATTCCTTCTCAACTATCTTGAGCTCCCATTCCTTTGTAGTCTCCATCATACTCATTCAATCTTAGGAAAGTACTCTTTTGAAAGTCACTTTTGAGAAGGAAAAAAACTATATTGGTAGAAAGCAACGCGAATAATGTATGTGAGTTTTGAAAGTATCAAACAAAAATTATATATTAGATTGTAGAATAAAAGAGAGAGAGGGAGACGTTAAATCAAAGTACTCTAGAATCCGTGTAAGTTTGTTAGCTTGTCCTTAACCGACATTGAGTGTACTATAGATGAAATTTTCTTTTGTACTTAATCTTGTTTTTTTTTCTCAGACCCAGATCGAAGCTTCAGTCACTAGTGACCCTCGCTGCCGTGGTTTGTCTAAACTTTGTCGCCATCCATATACCGAAGACTCATTTTTTTCTAAAAAGGTTAGCTTTAAATCGAAGGAGAGAGAGAGAGAGAATTTTCGCAAACTTGAAAACTTCAACTAGCTGGCAACATATGTCCTTTTCTTTCACCATGTTGCTTATCCAGATGTTTGTCTCTAATACAAAATGCACATAGGATTGGATATACAGTATGTGTGCGAGTGCTTATGCGTGTAGGTGTCTAGGTAGTTATGAGATACACATTGATTTATGTAGATGTGGACATGTAGCTCTGTCTGCCACTGAGCTGCACTAAAGCTACTGTTCCACAGTTGTTTGTCATGTGGATTAGTTGGTTTAGAACTGTTTATTGTAGATCATATGCCTGAAAGGGAGAGGTTCGAGTCCTTGGTAAAGGGGTTACTTATTTGTTGCAATGCATCATCACATTATTCCATCTTATATATAATTGTTTTTCCTACAAGAATGAATCAGTCCCCATCCACTGAACCTGTGAGGAACTTGGAAGGCTCATGGAAGCCTTGCATCCGTCAGAATTCAGTGTACTTCCTCAAGGTCCCGAAGTGCGCGTCCACGACTAGCTTACAGATCTTCGTTGCGTGAGTAAATGTTACAAACAATGAGAGACAGTGAGAAATACATGGGAGGAGAATGGAGAGATGCATGATAAGAGAAGAGAGAGTGTCGAAAGAAAGTGTCGCGTGGGATGTGAAAGAAAAATAGCAAGGGGCAAGGTAAAGAAATCAAAACCTCTGAAAAAAACCTTACTGATACACTTCTAAGCTATGTCACATAGTCAGCATTTCTTATGTATGGCAACCTCATAATAAATATATGTATTAGCAAATCTTTTTAGGGCATTTATCAACCTGGGTGAATACATTCCAATCAGATATGGAGTCAAACACGGCCTGACCTTCGCTCTGCCCGCCAGCATTGCAATGATACCTATATCCCCAAAGATTTTGCCGCCAGAGTACCATGGGTCCCCCGACGGTCGCTACAACATGGTAGTGTCCCACACACAGTTCAGTAAAGCGGGAGCACAGCAGGTGAGTCCCTTACCTCATAACTTTAATTTATGGTTTAAAAGTCTGCTGATTACCGCGCTGTAGATGTGATAACTTGGCGTTTTCTTGGGTGATTAATAATCAAACTCACATTTTCAGCCTCAGACCTTAAGCGTGTATTTGCAGGTGATGAAAGAATCGGCCAAATATGTCGCAACTGTACGGGAACCAGCAGCCCGCTTTGAGTCTATGTGGTATTACAGACAATATGATAAGGTCAGACAATTACTAAGTACCATAGCCACGATATATTTCCATCTACATACCTCATATAACTCATGGAATGAGAAGCTAATTCTAAGAATTTACTCTTTCTCACAGATACTGGGCATCACTCTTAGTGCTTTCATCAATGCATCGCAGCGTACACCGAAGCAAAATGCTAAACTGAACATGATTGCGAATTATTTTGGAGTCAAAGATCCCCGCGATGACGTACCAGAAGGTGAAGTACTTAGCAAGGCGAAATGGCTGAATGACAGCTTCGACCTGGTGATGGTTGCCGAGAGGTTCGACGAGTCGCTGGTCCTTCTGAAGCACCTCATGTGCTGGAACACCGAGGACGTCGCTTACGTTCAGGCCAGGGTTCGGAGGCCCATGTACAGGGCCGAGCTCTCGGAGGCGCAGAAGGACAGGCTTCGGCAGCTGAACAGGCAGGATGTTCTTCTGTACAAGTTCTTCACGGAAATCTTCGAGGAGAAAGTCAAGGCCTTCGGCGAGGAAAGGATGCAGAGGGAAGTCGAGGAACTTCGCCAAGCGAGCGCTCGACTCATCGACGACTGTGGAGCTAAGCTCACTGGGTCAAGGAGGACTGAGAAGACATGGAAAGTAACGAACGATTCCAGTATTTGCAGAATGATTACACTGGATGGAGCTGCTATCCAAGAGCAACTGAAGAAAAGGCAAAAGAAATGGGTATCGAGCAACTTGACTTACGACCTATCAACGTGGACCTTTTCCCAAGTGAAAAATGGAGTCCGGAAAATTTAA